AGCACATTGTTTCTGTGGATTGAGTAACATGTCATCTAGAATTATTCTATGGCTTACTTTGTAGCTGTATAAATCAAAAAGTGAGGATAGGGATTCAAATCACACGTTAAAATTTAATAATTACTTGTGTTTTAAGTACAAGCATTGCTTATCTAGTCAAATTTTTAAACTAGACCTTTCCTCATATAAAATTAGCAACTTTAAAGCCCTTAATAGTACAACTGACAAAACAAGCGTTCAGTCTTTAATTTAATTTTTCAGTGTATTTTCCTAGTTTAAAAATCTGACTAAATAAGCAATGCTTGTACTTCAAACACAACTGATGTTAACGGCGAGGACAGTGGTGATATTTCAGCACATGACATTCTGATCTATTGATATGCCAATAAGAAGTATAAATTAATCGAAGTTGATGAAAATCAGCTTTATTGGCGAAAAAAAATGTCAAGCGTCCTTCACTGCTGATTGCGACTTATTAAAGTTTAACGTGTGATTTGAATCCCTATCCTCACTTTTTGATTTATACAGCTACAAAGTAAGCCATAGAATAATTCTAGATGACATGTTACTCAATCCACAGAAACAATGTGCTACTGACCAAACTCTACTTTGGAACCTTCCTTGAACTTCTTTTGTGTGTAACCGATTGCAAGGAAGAGTTGACTCTAGTGAAAGTCAGATACAAATTCTTTCTCCAAATGAATATTATCTCATGGATATGTAAAAATGTTTCTTCATGACTTAATGGAAGTTAGATATAGATTCTTTCTTTATACAAAAAAGCCAGTAAGATCCAGAAATATGTAGTAAGTTGTGTTACATTTCTGACAGTACATAAACGACACTTAAACTTTGTATATTTATTCATACACATATACATATTGAATCTCAAGCAGAACTTACTCATCGTTGTGATCACAGCAGTTGATGTCACCATGCTCACTACTGTTGTTGATTGGTCAGCTAGAACGAGAGGACACTAGACATCTTGAATACAACGTGACATATAGAAATACATTCGTATTTTGTGACTTTCATCATCAAATTTCAGTTTTTTGTCAATCTTATGTGACATTCGGAATTAGCATCAAAGACTGAGTCGAATGAGATCTGTATAGGAATTATTGGATAGTTTTCGTTTTTCGGCGAAAATCTGGGTGTTGTTTCCAATGGAGAAATTCGAAAAAAGCCGAATTTTTCGATTATGAGAGTGACGAACCTCATACGACTCAGTTTTTGACGCTATCATTAGGCTAGAGACGAGGGTAACGATCTTCCAGCAAGTGTCTTGCTTGATGATAAGAGTGCGAATGGCGATACATCAAAAGCAGACCTATTCAACAACTTTTTTCAAAATATTTTTCACCTAAAGCTGTTCCTTGAGTAAAAATACAAATTTCCATCAGTGACGGACGCATTCTAATAATATCATGAACGAAAGGACAAATTATTCAATCTATTTTTTATTTAAGAAAAGTTATGGCAGCGGACCCGATGGAGTTGACGTTCGTTTTATGAAGGAGTCTGCTGCTCAACTGGTCGACTATCTGGAAGGTCAAGATAAGCGACCGATAAGCGTCAGCGACAATTTTTGCGGCCACTTTGTCTCTTTAACAAAATGGTGGCTGAACCAATCATAGTTTAGTTTAATACATATAATTTTTTCCTTTTCTCTCTACGGCTTGTCCACGTAACTCCGCTGGCAGAGATGTCATAGCGTTACCTTTTTGCTCATTTTGTTTTGAGCGTAGCTCCGTTACAAAACGTTCTAGAGAACTCGGGAACATCTCGAATTGAAGAAAAAATTGTTTTAAAGATTTCGAGATTTGTCCGCTTCCTGGCAGCTGTTCCTTCGAAAAACTGTGATGAAAATGTGGAGAGCTACATTTCTGTTTTTTTCCGTAAGAAGTAGGTCTCACCATTTTGCATGTGGATTTTTAAGAAAACATTTTCCAGGGAGCGGATGCATCTCAAAATCTTTATAATAAATTTTTCTTCGATTTGAGATGTTTCCGAGCTCTCTAAAACGTTTCGTATCGAAGCTATGCTCAAAACAAAATGAGCAAAAAAGGTAACGCTATGACATCTCTGCCAGCGGAGTTATGTGGACAAGCCGTCCATACCATGCTGAAAGGATATAGTCTGTTTTAATGTTCTGATTATTTACGGAAGTGATAACCCGGGAAAGCTGCGTGTTTTAACATAATATTTAATGTTTTATATTGTAGTGTTTACGTCTGTGTTTATGACTATGACTGCTTATTCCTACTCCCAAGCGTCAAAAAAAAATCTAGTATCGCCCGATTCATCTAGATTATTAGATTTTTACTCGATTGCAACTAGTGTGTAACGACAGTGGAAATCTAGTAACTGGGCGATTATTAGATTTTTTCTAGTTGCAACTATCGATTTATCGCCCGATAATCGATCGATTTAACTATTACTAGATGCACCTGCAGACGCATCTAGTTAAAAGTCCCTTTTCCAACTAGTAATCTAGATGGGGATTGTCTAGGTCATTTGCTATTATTATTTCACGTACTTATCGGAGAAAATCCCATGAAACTACATTCGCTTCGATTCTGGGAAGGTAGCCTCATTTTAGTTCAGTGTTCATATGGTTTTTCTTCTTCAGGATTTACGGTATGGGGAAACTTTTAACGATAAATGGGATGACGACCACGTTCAGATGCCTTGCTCTGAGAGCAATTTAATGGTAGGTTTGTTCGTCGCCAAGGTTTTTTTCTATATTTTGTGGTGTATTATTTTGTAGGCAAATGGCTGTTGCCGCTGGCCGAAAATCTGCTCCTCATTGAATAATCTGAAAACCATAATGGCCTTAGGGGAGATTAAAATAGGAAATCTTAAAGTATGCAAACCAAGATGAGATGCCTTCTTATCTAAGCTTTTGCATTTTCTGATTTTAGTCCGCTATGGAAGCTATTTAGAAAAGCCCCTGTCTGTTAGTTGTCTAGAGCAGTTAGTCGATCAGGTTTGTGAAACAAACAGTTGACATTCTCCATAATGATTAGAATTTGTTTTTTGTTGCAGGAATTTACAGCAAGCAAACGGTTGCTATTTTACAAAAATGTTTTAGTGAAAATAGTGGATCTGATTCTAAATTTACCGAGTATTTGTGAAGAAGTAAGTTCAGTCTCTTATGAAGGACACTAAGACTATAAGTATGTTTTGTTTCAGACACCAATTTTACTCAAGTCAAATTCAAATCTATCAGTAACATTCATGCAGGAGCAATGTGCCGCACTATTATCGTGCGCCTTCTTTTGTGCATTTCCAAATCGACAATCACATTTAACGTATCGGTCTGTCAATTTTCACACGTGAGTACGATAGTTTTAGAATCTGTTATGAGGCGTTCAACTTTCCGCCTGAATTCTATTCCAATCTATAGGTTATTTCAAGAAGATCGACGAACCGGAGCTACCAAGAAGAAGATTGAAAAACTAAAATGTATACTGAACTATTTCTTTCGAATCTCTAAAAGGAGTAAGACGTCTGTTTCTCTCATTGCTTCTCAGCATTATTTTTTTTATCTATTTTGCTTCAGTACCAGATGGTTTGATAACGTTCCGACGATTCTGTTTGTCCTCATCGTCCATTCCGGCCGGGAGTCGAATCAACAGCACGTATTGCACACATTACTGTGACAGATAACCAGAAAATAGAAGATATGAAGAACTATCTGCAAGTAAGTTGTGACTCAAGTTGAAATATTGGATTTTTATACTGATTCATGTACTCTAGGTTGATTTTGCTAACAAGTTTATCGGAGGAGGTGTACTGAACATGGGTGTGCTCAAGAAAAGATTCGTTTCCGGAGATGATCATCGCCCCCCTCGTATGTGAGTCAATGAACGACACCGAGTGTGTTTTTTTGTTTGGTAGGTTATATCTGATTTAAAGGGAGGTATCTTCATTAGTGTTATTTTAGGTTGCGAACAGTTCTCCTCCTACACTGGCTACGCCGAATCATTCCAGTACGCCGGCGATTACTTGGATCAGAATCAAAAGTGCGATTATTTTCTCGTATCCCACTCTTACATCATTTAGTGATCTGCTCTGTCACCATGTTTTTACATAGTCTCATTTTCAATTCAGAGATAATTCTGGTCGACGTTCAATCAAATGTGTTGCAATTGATGCAATTCATTTTGAACAGCCTGAGCAACAATATACTATAGCAAATATCGAACGCGAACTTGTTAAATCTTACTGTGCGTTTTCTGGTTGGGATGAAACAATCGTCTCCTCATTTGGTGTGGCCACTGGACATTGAGGTTGTGGGATATTCAACGGAGATAAACAGTTAAAAGGTAAGTACGATGCTAAAAACGAGAAATAAAAGTATGTGTTTATGGATTTATTACAGCTCTCATTCAACTGATGAGTGCAGCACACTGCAATCAAGCACTCGTATATTGCACAAAGGGTGATTTGAGTTTTAGTAAACAATAACTCAACGTGAACAAATATCTACTACAAACACAGTTTTGTGTCCACGATTTGTATAGTTTAGTCATACGATACAGCAAGCAAAGACTGCAACAACAAATTCAGATACCGTTATTGATCACATTTTGTAGAGAAAACGACTTTACACATTTTCATGTGCATATCTAGCATTATAACCTTATGGTGACTTTTTAAATTAACTTTTCTGAGGAGGTACATAAAACATATCGATGCTGAGCAAAAACGATTTTGTTCAAAATCCAGTACGAAGTTATCCTAAAGCCTGATATAGAAAAACAGCTCTTGCAAAACTCCACAATATTCCGATCAAACAAACCCTACATATCATTGGCTCAATCCTTTATAGGTCAAATATGAGCCCAATGACCCCTAAAAATCAGTACAATTAATGTTTTAGCCATTTTACTCTCATAGATAAGAGAGGATGCAACTACTATCGAAACGGAAAGGTCGTGCCGGTTGCCGTTTTTCAAATAACTTTTTAACGAAAGGTCTTAGCGGCCTGCGGTTTCCACCATCGTATAGAGGACGATTTTTGACGCAATCTTAACAGTAAGCCCCGCAAGGTGCACCACCTGCAGGTGGTAAGCCTCATCAACCTTGGAAAGAGTAGGTTGCCAAACCAAGCAAAGGAAAGCAAAAGAATTTCCCCGACACAGGTTCGAACCACCAGACCTTCCGCTACAAGTCCGCGAAAGAACCAAATCGCTATCTCTCAGAGTTCGGGCAGGGCTCGGATTTTCCCCGAACCTGCCTGAGATCTTATTTTCTTGCAGAAAAAAATGTGAGAATGGTTGAAACATAGGCTACTAGGGATGTTCGGTTCCCGGTTCCGGAACCGAGAACCGCGGTTCTGGAACCGAAACCACGGTTCTCGAGTTAGAACCGAACCGAAAAGAACCGCGATTCCGATTCTCGACTTAGAACCGAAGCGAAAAGAACCGCGGTTCCGGTTCCCAACTTAGAACCGAACCGCGGTTCTCGGTTCTCAGCTAAGAACCGGAGAAGAATTTTTCAAGCAGTAATAATTCTGCCAAATGAAATTCATTTTATAGTAAACGCAAGGATGCTTTTAAATGATGACAGGCAAATATATCTTTTTGCAGCTTTGTTAATAGTGTGTTTTCATTTTGTTAAAAGAAAGGCAATACAAAAAGATAAAGTAAAAGAGAAAAGAACGAATTATTGTTTCGTCCGTCCTTTTTGCACTTCATAAAGAAATACAAACTTGATCGTCCGTTCACACTCGTTCTTTTTCATTCAATACTGTACTTTTCTATCGTCTGATCTTAACAGTTGTAAGACCAGACAAACTATTAAGTTAACAGTTCGCTCATTTTCTCGAATAACACATCTCTATCTTTGTTGAATCATTCATTAATTTATCATGTCTTTTTAACAAAACGTGGTAAAAGTAAATATCGTACGGTTTAGCAGATCTCATCTAAAAGAAGTTGCGCACACGTATGAACGCTAAATATAGCTTTAAAAACTATAGTATCTGTGATTAAAAAAGTTTCGGTTCCAAATAAAAAGAACCGTCTATAGAACCGCGGTTCCGGTTCCAGCTGAAGAACCGAAAACAAGAGAACCGCGGTTCCGGTCCTTAGCGAGAACCGAGAACCGAACATCCCTAATCACTGCAGTATGAACTTCGTAAATGAGCAGAATTTGATAACATGAGTTTTCTCTCCAAAGCTAGAATTGATTTGTTGCTTAGGTCAAAGACTTCTTCGACTACCGCGAGTATTTTTAGCTCCGTTAGTTGCATGAATTCGTTAGACTGCGTGAGTTCGTCTAGTTCTGTGAGTCTGTGCGTTTCTTGTGTACTTTCGGTTGCATTAGTTTCTTTTATAATCGTTTCTGTCTGCCGGGTGATAGTTTATTTGTCCTTGACGATCTTTCTCTCTAATTGATGTTCAAGTGCCAAACGCCTCAAGATTGAAACGCATGGAACTTAGCCATTGCTCAATTAAATAATAGGTTGTGAGTATTGTCGTCTTTTCTTCACTTACTCTTCTTCCAGATCATCTTGTGATAAGTATTTTGTTGCAAATTTCCATACAATTTGATGTTTCAGAGCGTATGCATCATATACGTCTGAATGAGTCATGCGTACGCAGCAAAAGGTTTGTGCTGCTAGTTGATAGCTGCGATGATACCGCATCTTTACAGGAGTTTGGAGCAGAAGGTCAAAATCCTTCTCAGAAACTCGAGAAAAATTATTACTGTTTTCAAGAAATGAGGCCCCTCAGTAGAATGCTTATAACGCCACGAAGAAACATGATCGCAACCCTGCGGTTTGCGGCATTCAAAAGAGAACTTCGGGGCACCTAAGTCTGTGTGGAATTTCATTGGTCAAGTAATTGACTAATCAGGTGAATTTTTATTGGGCATGTTATGGACTGTATTGTGAAAACATTACCCATTCGGTTTTTACTTCCAATCTAACTATTCGATAGAAACAATTGTTCTCTGTCGATCTGCCCAAGGGCGATCTCACTGGCGTGTTCCGTTCAGCAGTCATAAGCATTTTGCCGAGAGCCCTGAAATCGACCACATCACCTCCAATCGCCGTAAAATAGATCAAGGTCGAGGTAATCGACCCCGCTGAGTCCAGCTGTGATGTTTATTTTTAGTTTCAAAGTGATCTGAGATCAAGAAATCTTAAGAAAATAAATCTTGTCGACGCTTGTGACGAAAGCGTCAACGGACGTTTGAGCGACGGACATTTAAGCGACCCGAAAGTTGAGCGACTAACACTAGAGTGACCTGGACATTTGAGCGAACAACATTATCGCGAACAGGACTCCGACTCATCCACGAATTTTTTGTAGTACATATTTGGGTATTGTTGGCAGTGTTTCGTGGCAGGTGATGATGTGGGCAGTATGAGACTGAGTTCAAAACGTAGTTTCACACAAAACATGTAATCACAGTGCGAAACTGAATATCTGTAACTGTATCACATAGTGCCCAGTCACCACATAACTTCATTTAGATATCATGTCGATCGCTCAAATGTCGGTCGCTTAAGTGTCGATCGCTCGAATATCGGCGCCCAAATCTCGGTCGCTAAAACGTCGGTTCATCTAAAATTCTCCAGTACACAGGCTAAAATCGTCTTGGTAATTCTCAAAATTTCTGTGGAATAGAGAAATTTCCGTGAAGAATGCATTAGGGAGATCCTCACATTCTCTGACACAAATAGAATTCTCGTGTAAGAGACTAATGCCGCCGTGTAACACAGACTAATACTCTCGTGGTAATTGTTAAAATTCCTATGGAATAGCAAAATTCTCGTGAAGATTCCACGCATACAAGTGAAATTCTCGTGTACAGAGCCTAAAATTCTGGTGGTAATTCTCAAAATTCCTATAGAAAAGTAAAATTCTCGTGAAGAATGTCTAAAGGATATTTACAGTTCCTATTATACCACTAGGACTCTCGTGTAAGAGAGTAAAACTCTCGCGTACACCGACTAATATTCTCGTGTATGCACACTAAAATTCTCGTGGTTATTCTCCGAATTATCCTCTAGAGTTATCCTCTAAGTAAAATTTGGTTATCCTCTAGAAAAGTAAAATTTTCGAGAGGAATGCGTTAGGGGCATTCTCAGTTGCTCTCAGATAGGTCGAATTTCTCCTGTAACAGACTAAAATTCTTGTGTACATAAAGTAACATTCTCGTGATAACTTTCAAAATTCTTGTGTAAAATTCTCGTGAAGAATGTACAAGGGATATTCTCAGTTGCTGTCACACCATTAGAATTCTCGTGTAAGAGACCAAAATTCTCGCTTACACAGACTAGAATTCTCGTGGTAATTCTCAATACTCCTGAAGAAAAGTAAAATTTTCCTGCACGGTGACTAAAATTCTCGTGGTAATTTTGAAAATTCCTGTGGAATAGTACCTTTTTATTCGAATTTGAGCAGGTTTTGGGGGAGCAACTGTCTCGGGAGACATTCTTCTACTGAAGAATGTATTACGAATATTCTCAGTTCGCATTACACAAGTAGAATTCTCGTGAAAGAGACAACAATTCTGGTTTACACAGACTAAAATTTTCATTGTAATTCTCAAAATTCCTCTGGATACGGAAAATACTCGTGACGAATGCGTTAGGGATATTCTCAGTTTCTCTGACAGAACTACGATTCTCCTGTAAGAGACTAAAATTCTCATGTACGCAGACTAAACTTCTAGTGGTAATTCTCCATATTCCTGTAGAAAAGCAAAATTCTACTGAAGAATGTCGTAGGAATATTCTCAGTTCCTCTCACGCAATTTATAATTGTCGTGTAAGACAGAACAATTCTCGTTTACACAGACGAAAGTTCTCGTGACGAATGTATCATGAATGTTGTCAGTTCCTCTGACACCACGGGAATTTTAGCCTCTTACAGAAAATTTCTACTCGGATGAGATTTCCTCTCGAAAATTTTACTTTTCTAGAGGATAACCAAATTTTACTTAGAGGATAATTCGAAGAATAACCACGAGAATTTTAGTGTGCATACACGAGAATATTAGTCGGTGTACGCGAGAGTTTTACTCTCTTACACGAGAGTCCTAGTGGTATAATAGGAACTGTAAATATCCTTTAGACATTCTTCACGAGAATTTTACTTTTCTATAGGAATTTTGAGAATTAGCACGAGAATTCGACTTCTCTGAGAGGGACTGAGAATATCGCTAATGCATTCTTCACGAGAATTTTACTTTTCTATAGGAGTCCTCAGTAGAATTTTACTTTTTCTCGATGTTCTTAGTATTTCTAGATTTTCTCCCCCAAAACCTCCT